GCACGCCTTTAATCCCAGCACTCGGGAGGCAGAGCCAGGCGGATCGCTGTGAGTTCGAGGCCAGCCTGGGCTACCAAGTGAGCTCCAGGAAAGGCGCAAAGCTACACAGAGAAACCCTGTCTCGAAAAACCAAAAATAAAAAAATAAAAAATAAAAAAAAAATGAATCTCTCTTTTCCAGCAACTATCCACTACCTATGCTTATCAGTGTGCTCTGGAGGCTGGTAATCATATTCCCTATCTATGTTGAGATTTTGCCTGGCTGTGTTTAATAATGCCAGAAGGTACTATACACGCCTCTGGGGAAGAAAAGACATCAGTGAGTGATGTTACAAAGTGCTGGACCCTCCATGCAGCAACACCAACTTGCCAAGCAACATGTGTACTGGTGCAGTAGTGATGTGGCTGTTATGGAGTAACTAACCAGTTAGACACCAGTTTTAATTTTTAACTTGGAAAAATTTTTAGAAGTTGGATCAGGAAGATGGCTCAGCAGGTAAAAGTACTAGATTTACAAGCCTGACAATTGAGTATAATTCCAAGAATTATATGTGTAAGATGTTGGAGACAGTAAAACTCTTTTGGTAACCCCAGCACTCCATTTGGGAGGTGGAGACAAGAGAAACAAACAGAAGCTCAGAATAAATTGTGCATCAATAACAGGAGAGACCCTGACTTAACAAGATAGAAGGCAAAAACCAACACCCCAAAGTAGTACTATGACCACATACAAACTGTGGTGTGCATGGGCCCATATTCACACACACACGCACACGCACACACGCACACACGCACACACGCACACGCACACGCACACGCACACACACACACACACACACACGGTAAAGTCAATAATTAAAATAAAATTAAAAGGTTATTACATTTTTATTTTTAAAAACTGATCAGAAAGAATAGAGAAAATGCATAACAGTGTTGAATCTAGGATGAAATGTTTGGATATCTATTACATTGTTTCCTATACTTTTCTAAATGTTTCAAGTATTTCATAATAGAAAACAGACAAAGCAGAAAATGGTATTCAGAATATGATACTTTAAACACTCTTATCAATATAACCATTAAATTGACTTTTTATTTCTATTTTTAAGTAATTTTGACAATTATATTCTATATTTTAAAAGACTTGACCATTCAACTTCATTTCTTTCCTTTTACCTTCTGAGACAAGTAAGAGCGTAAGTTGATACTTTTGTTTAGAACATTTCAACTTCCCCTTACCTTTATTACGCTTCTTCTTCTTTCCTTCATTCTTCTGCCTCCTCTGTCTTCATTTCCTATTTTCTTTCCTTCTATACTTTTCCATAGCAATAACTCTAATCTCAAATTCTACCAAATTCCTATTTTTAAATACAAAATGCCCAATTAAGTTTGAATTTAAGTTAATCACCAAATAGTATAATCACATCCCATAGATTGCATGGGACCTACTAAAATATTTCTTATTATTATTATTGTTATTATTATTAATCTGAAATTTAAACCAAAAGCCTCATGTTTTTATTTTCTGATGTGACAACTGTCTTAGGGTTTCTATTTCTGTGAAGAGACATCACGGCCATGGTAATCCTTACAAAGGAAAACACTTATTAGGGTGGCTTACAGTTTCAGAGGTTTAGTCTATTATCATTAGGGTGGGGCATAGTGGTATGCAGGTAGACATGGTGCTGGAGAAGGAGCTGAGAATTCTACATCTTGATCTAAAAACAACAGGAAGTGAACTGAGACACTTGGTGTATCTTGAACATAAGAGACCTCAAAGCTTGTCCTCACAAAGTACACTTCCTCCAACAATGCCACACCTCCTAATAATGCAAGTCCCTATGAGCTTATGGGGGCCAATTACATATGAACTTCCTCAGAAGCTATGCTAATGTTAATATCTTATAATCGCAGTACATTGGCATATATCATCTTTCTCATAGGTACCTCAATTCTTATATGTGCACACAGAATAATCCAATAGTCTTTCCATTTTAAAGTCTATGAACATGGCTATTAGGGACTAACAAAATCAATCTTAAAAGGCACAGTATCCTAAGGCGAGTAGAGTTGTCTTGGCCTTAGCACTGCCTTTGCACCTCCGAGGGTTTGACCCCATTGCACCGGAGAAGGAGTGTCTATCTGGCCTTAGGCCTCCCTCGATCGGTCCACACATCATGAGGTGGGGACCTGAACGGGAGCAAGTCCTCATTTTGCTCTTATATTAAAACAAAAAAAGGGGAACTGCAGGGAGCCGGGACAATCGCCATTATAAGATGGCGCTGACTTCTTTTCATTCTGAAGATTTATTCTAAGACAATGCTTTCGACGAAATACGTGCCTCTGCTTTGCACATGCGCAAGCTATATTGGCCCCCCACCAATCCTGTGGTGCCTGGTGGCGGCAGGCTAAGTTCAGCCAGCGATTCACGCCTCTTTTCCCTATATAAAGCAGCCGCTTTTACTCCTCCCTCCCCTCGCTTCCAGCTCTCCCTCAACCAAAGGCTCTCCAATAAAAGTGTGATCTGAGAAGGAAAAAAAAAAAAAAAAAAAGGCACAGTATCCATAATCAGTTTTAAAGATATTATCTTGACTGATTCCCAGTATTCTAGAGGCATGAGCTAGCTTTAGGTTCTGATACCTTTACAGAGAATTGTACAGAAACCTAAATTTTACTTCTTGGTCTTTGCTAATTAGTTATTTATCTTTCCTTATGCATGGGCTTCAGTTTCCTCTCAAAGCACTTCTTCCTCATATGTCATATTGATCTTGGGCTGATTTTTTTCTGTAAATAAAAATCTCACAAGGCCTTTGTACTGCATCATGGTTTCCTTTTATTTCAGTCATTTAAATTGCAGAGTATGAGCTTTCACCACTTCCTCCTTGGTTCATTCTCCTGTCTTCCTAATCTAAAGTTTTTCTTCACCATTTCTATTAGCTTCATGGTCTTTCAGGATGGTAGAAAAGAATTATGACTGAACAAGAACAATGGGATAGTTACTGGCTGGTTAACTGAACAAAGAAACAAATGATTCAAAGAATCAACATAATAATTGCCCTTAGAATTACTAAACATTTGCAAAGAAAATGATAGCAATCCTGTAAGAAGAAAATATAGCAATGAGATTTTCTGTTTTCCTTTTAAGTACATTCTTTCAGAGACCTTCTGTAAATGTTTTCTCAGGGTCACCTTTCCTTGGAGTAGCATTTGCTTTTAAATGGCCTGAAATTTAAGAAAGATGGAAAATAAGGACTGTAGAGAAGACTCACCCATGAGGAGAACTTCCTGCTCTTCAAGAGGACCCCAGCTCTATCTCCATTGCCCACATCTAGTGGTCACAACTACCTGTACCTCTAGCTCCAGAGGATCCAATTCCCTTTTCTGGCCTTCAGGACATGTGTGTATATCATGTATTCACACAAACATCCAAACACATACATGAATAAAAGAAAATCTTTTAAAAGCTCCAAAAGGTAGAAATCACTATGTTATTCAACAGGCTGTTTCTTTTATGCATTCTTAGCTCTGAAATATCTTTCTTTCATGCAACAAAGAATGTTATGGTCTGAATGTTTGCCCCTCCACAGGTATATGTATGTTGACATCCAAACTTTAAGGTGATGATTTAGAAAGTGGGATAATTGAGAGATGAGTAGGACATAAAGCTTTTATAATCAAGATTAGTCCTTGGATAAAAAAGATCCCCAAAATTTAATTAAGCCCTTCTACCAGTGTGAATTTCTGAGAACCAGAAAGGGTAAACCCACTGGCACTGGTTCTCTGGCACCTTGATCCTCACTTCTCAGACACTAGAAATAGGCATCTATGTACCCAATTTTCTGTCACTTAGTTTGTGACATTCTGTTGTAGTAGCCCAAAGCAGCTAGTACACCAAATAAAATAACAGGCTTGGCACCATCTTTTCCTTTCAAATTGAATTTTATTTATGAGGATGAATATTCTGAGATAAGAACCATGTGTCATTATCCCTTATGTTCTGTCCATTACTCTTTCTGCTTTTACGAGTTTTAATATCTTATTATAAAGTCAACTATATTTATTAATTAAAGAAAAGCAATCAGCCATGTATACGTTTATCACATATATAAAATAAGAAATATTTATAAAGCCAAATACATACTGTTTGGAAATGTTCTCATATATGGGACACATTTTCCCTTCCTATTAAATATTCAATCACATTTTTCAATAGTTTCCCAGTACTGTATTATCTTTCAAAAATGAAAGCTTGACTTTTTATGAAAGTTTCTCATCTTTTGAAACTCTGAGCTTTTATCTATAAAATAGAGTTTGTGGAGAGAGAGGTAAGTCAGGCCAGGCTGTGATGGAGTGTCTATGAAAGAGTCTGCTCTTGTCTGTGTAACTAATTCTGCTGAGGACTGGAGGACAGGCACAATGTGGAACTGTGTTTTACAACTGCAGAGATGAAAACCAGCGGAAGGCAAGGTGAACAGGATGAAAGTCAATGTGGTGACACCGCTGAAGATTTGCCTCTGTGTGCCTTTGTGGGTGAGAACTCACTCTGCTGCCTGAAAGAGGGAAAAAGGGGACTCATTTCATTGCACTCATCTGTCAGAGATAATACCCTGCACAAAACGGGGGAAGAGTGGGGAACTTATAATCAGTCTGTATACACATACAATAGGAAGTCAGTCGGGAAACACAGCAGGCCTGGGAAATGAGTGGCTGTCACAGAGAGGACAGTGACATGCCACTGAGATCAGTGAGCATGAAGTTCCAAAGACAGGGGAAGGCCAACTTGATCTTTCTTTGTGTGCACACAGGTGGGAGTGCTACATGCACCTCCGGACTTGGTAGGGAGTCACAGTCCTTTGCCAGACAAATGTAGCACATGCCACCGCCAACAGGCAGAGCCAACCTTTTATAGCCCTTTGAAGGCATCCACAGAACACATATGCCCTGTGCAAGTGGTAGAGAAAGACTACTCTTGTCAACCAAAGGGTATTTTTTTTTTTTTGCAAAACTGCTGAGATCAATATCTGTGTGTCATGCAAGCATTCAAAACAAAGTTTGAACAATTTGTGAAAAGATTAATACTGTAGGTAGTGCTTGTAGCATTTTAGTTTTAACAAGAGTCAAAGGACCCAAATGTTTTCCATATGCATCTACCTTGTTTCATCAGAGTCCCGAGAATTTCTAGGCTTTGGAGAACTATAGATGTTGCTCCACTCTCCAAGAGTTGTGTATTGTATACATAGACTAACCTTTACAGCATACAGTTGTGTGGGAAGCCCAGATACGTGGCAGTGCCACATAAGAATACTCAGGAATCATCTCTTAAATGAAGTCGTGCTACATCTTCAATCTTTGAATCTTTTCGTTCTCTCTGGGTGGTTGACTTTCAGCCTGTTTTTGTTGTTTGTTGGCTTGTTTCTTTGCTTCTTGTTTTGTTTTGCTTCGATATGGCCATCAAAAAGGACCTTAGGCCAGTGGATGAGTTGCTTCTCTCACCGCTTTGGTAAAATACTTGACAATAGCAACTCAGAAGGGAGGGGTTTGTTTTGGCTAGTTTTTAGGGTCCAAGTCTTCATGGCAGGGCAGCCATGATGACAGGAACGTGAGGCAGGTGTTCATTTGCAGGCAGCAGACCGTGATGACTGCCAGCCTCACCTTCCAATGTTTAGAGTGGGTCTTCCTAATTTAATTCATCCTCTGTATAAACTCTTACAGCTACCCCCAATCAGAGGCTTATCTCTCATGCAATTCTGCATCTCACCAAGCTGACAATCAATATGAACCATTACAGCTTAGTAATAGAAATTTATTGCTCACAGTACTGAAGGCCTGCATGTCCCACATGAAGATTCCAACTGATCCAGGATCTGGTAAATGCCTGCTCCTCATAGACAGTGTCTTCTTGTAACATCATCTTGTGACAAAAGGGGTGAATAAGCTCTTTTGAAAGGGCATGAATATCATTTATTTGAGCTCTGCCCTCATGACCTTATGAAGGTCCTCCTTATAGCGCTATTGTTTTGGTGATCAGATACTGACCTATGACTATTGAGGATAGCAACATTTCAGAACATAACATATTTCCTAATACATCACACAGCACTGTTCCTTAATGCTCCACTCTGCATAATTTTGACAAGCCAAGCCAGTATGATGGACTCTGGAGATCCTTTACACTTGCTCCTTTTTTTGTTGAGTCCTTGCTAAGTGCATACAGCCGAAGGTGAGTGTCTGATGTACTTTGAAGAAGGAACGGTCTAGCACTGTTTTATTCACTCCTTCACACTTTTGTGATGGGTAGAGATTCATTGCATCTCCCTGAAGAGGCATCTCCAATGAATCTTAGTATCCATGTCTGGGGCCGGGCAAGCATCATTTATACGGAAAAAACCCAGCTGACTTTGCAGAGCTGGACATTTTGTTTCACATGCTATTTCAATTGTCCTTGCCTAGATCTCAACAGATGTAGTGATGGTTTTGTGCCCCAAGTTAGTTCTTGACCTTCATGTATTACTCATAGGATCTCACAGCATCTGAATTCATACCATTTCAAACAATATGACAACTCACATATGGTTTTCTTCTTTATTGTTTTTTATGAAAATGCTTAAAATTTCCAAAGAAAGAGGTTTAGGTAATGTGGGGATTATAAGCAGCAGAGGATACATTTATTCAACCCATTTTCAGGCAAAGACTCCTTAGAAAGGCTGGTGTGGAGTCAACTTTTCGATAAGGGAATGCGTGACTTGTAGACAAGGATTAGAAAGCTACTTGGAGCATGAAGTGGTGCCGTTCCTTGACAGGAAGAAGAGGAAAGAAATAAGAAGGTAGCAAGGGTGAGTGGTTTCTCTGACCCCTTGGAGCACTCACTGCCCAGCTGACAAATTGTATCTATTGCATTTTTCCAAAGCTCTTCTCCAGGCTTAGGAAAACAACTGCAATCAACTCATATCATTGTATCTGTCACAAGATGAGCCTCCCTTTTGCCCTCAGATTGCATGATGTAGTTTATGAAAAAGTTAATTGACTGGTTGGGGAACTTGTACATTTCATATTTTATGTGTGCATTGTCCTTCTGAAGATGACATATGTTAAGTTGCATCCCATATAGGCCGCAAAACAAGCAAGGCTTGTTTTCAATGTATTGAATTTATAGTTCCAGTTCTAATATATACAGATAATACAAGCTTTGGCTATTTATTTACTCTCTACCTCAGATTTCTTTTCTCTTTTTTCCTCTTTCTTTTTTTTTCTTTTTTTTTTTTTGGGGGGGGAGGGCAGGAATAAAGTTAGTTTTTCTTACAAATGTTGTGTATACTACATACAGTACAAATGTTTACTCAGTAGAAGAGCTCCAGTAGGAATTGCCAGTGTATAATGATGACCATGGTTTGAACACCATGATTTATGAGAGGTTGTTAAAATTTGTGTTATGCTGAAACATTTTGCTCAGCCTTGGTGTAGGGAGGAGGGGACTGGACCTGCCTCAAATGAATCTACCAGGCCGAACTGAATCCCCAGGGGAGACCTTGCCTTGGAGGAGGTGGAAATGGGGGAAGGATTAGAGGGGAAGGCTGGGGGATGGGAAGAGGGAGTACAGAGGAATCCATGGCTGATATGTAAAATTAAATTAATTATTAAAAAATTTTGTTACTTACTGGAAAGGGGACAATGTCAGAACCTACAGGATGAGCATGTACAAATGGGGAACAAAAACAACAAACCTAGAATCTGTAGAAATAGATACTTGGAGATTCTGAATTTTACATCTCTAGTGTGTTCTTTGATAATTTTACTATTATAAACCAAGAACCAATATGTTAGCAGGCACTAACTGAACAATAGTGGTTTTGTGTCAAGATAGAGCATTTGGAGCAGTGGCTATGATCTGATAAATGGACCTCTCCGGCTCCTGATCACAGGAGTTCATGGAAGATGGCAGATGCTGTCTTATTATTTGCCAGATGCCTTGGGATCAGCCCTTGACCAGGAAAAAGTTATTACTGCTTAGTGAAGATGGATTTGGAAAGAGTATTTGGACAGTGTGGGCTTCATTAACACAAGTTTGGTTTTTAAATCCCCAAGTATTGCTTTACAAGTCTTCAGATTAAAAATTAATTACAACAATTATCAACAAATATAAAAAGTCAAAAAATAATGAAAGCCCATCTGCCTTCTTGGCTTTGGAAAGCACAATGCAGTGCTCACAGCTCAACCCTGCCATCTTGTATGGAGAATTCTAAAAGTCATTCAGGATGCGATCATTTCTACTTCCTTTATGTAAAATATATAAATTCTGTTTTTTAAAAAATCAATCTTCTTATATCTTTAGCAGAAATTGATCAGGTGAGTCACAGAAATTAACCAGCACAAGCATTTTTGAGATGGTGTATGTTATGTAATTTTTAATACTTCATTAAAATGTTCTTATGTGTAAGCTAAAAGTTTCTCAATGGATAATTCTATTTCTATTAACTTGTAGGACA